TTTTTTTTTTTTTTTTTCAAGAGAGATTTTTGTGATTGGGTGCATGTGCTTGCCAGAGACACAGAGAGAAAGCGAGAAATCACCCCCAAGGGGGGATGGCCATACTGTCATCCCTTTGCCATTCTCCTCGGGATTTTGGGCATGCATGCACATGTGCCCAGTGTGAATTTTAAGCCACTGGGTCCAGGACTCGAACTGTGGTTGATTACGTGGGAGTCGACCGGCAGAACCATTACGTTACCTGCTGGTCCCACCCTCTAGCAAATTAAAAAAAAAAAATTTTAAAAAGGAGTTAAAACGTGCTCTTCTTTGAGTGATATTAAACTTATTAACTAGGTCTTGAAGAGCTAAACACAGGCATGATTGTTTGGGTCAGGCCACCAGCATAAATTTTAGTAATAAAACCAAAGACAATGTGTAAATTTATGTTTGGGGAAGTCGGGGCGGCTCAGGTGAAGGGAAAGTTCACTGGTGCTGAGGGCCACGTTGAATTTACGACCTTGCCAAGGAATGCCTTCTTCATAGGCTCACCAGGAAGAATAGCCCCTCTGTGTGTCCTCCCCCCTGCCCTCTAGTGGAACCAGAAGAGAGTTTCAGGCAGTTGGACTTTTGCCAAATAGACCTTCTTTACCCATTTCTAGTTATTTCTTTGGATTAGTGAATATTCTCCAATCACTTTGTAAATATGAGGGTACTTCAGAAAGTTCTTGAAAAAATAAATGGATTAAAGTACATTTATTTTTGGTGCAAAAACAGAAAGTTGAAATCTATGCATAATTTTTTCATAATATATATTTGCCACAAATGTTTTAGTTTTTGCTATAGGAGCATGCACTTGTCAGAGAGAGAGAGAGAGAGAGAGAGAGAAAGAGAGAGATAGAGGGAGAGGGAGAGCAGAAAGTGTGAAGGAAAGCGGCCATACCGCCGTGCCAAGATTTTGGGCATGCACACACATGCGTCCTGCATGTTTTTCAGGCCGTCGGGTCCAGGACACCAACAGCACAGTCGGCCTTGTGGAATCCAGCCGCCTTCACCACCACACCACCAGGTGGCTCTTGCCATAAACTTTTTAATTTTTTTAAAAAGAGAATAAAGGTTTATTTAGCTCATAGTTTTGGTGCCATAAACTTCTGAAGACCTCTTGAATAGTGACAAAAGCCCAGGACATGATCCAACTTGAGGCTGGGAGGGTCTCTCCTGGCGTGCCAGCTATGGGACTAGCACCAAGCTTTATGCAGATGAGGCATCATTAGGTGCTACTTGGAAGGGTGAGACACTCATACTTGGAGAAGGAGTCGGCTCGGTGGCAAGGGGGGTTGGTCCATCTTCTCACTGTTTGCTGAGTGTTGCCTGAAAGTCCATAGTGCTTGTATGTAAATTTTTGGTGACAGTTTAGTTACTGTTAAGACAAGAGTTTTAGATTTTTTTTTTTAGGTTTTCACAGAGAGAAAGTGAAAAGGAAAGAGGGAAGTCACCCCTCCCCACAACCCTGGAGATGGCCATGCTGCAATCCCTTCTCCTCCTGGGATTTTAGGCATGGACGCACATGCGCCCAGCGTGAGTTTCAAGCTGCCAAGTCCAGACTTGAACCGTGGTGATCTGTATGGGAATCCAGCGCCTTAGCCAGTGTGCCATCTGCTAGTCCCGTTATGAAAGAATTTAATGAAATATTAATACAAAAGTGAGTTAAAACTGAAACCTCATGAAACTTACAGTGAAGAATCATTTAGGGGCGTGTAGGTGGTATGGTGGTTACGGGTGCTGGACTCCCACGTGGCCAACTGTGCTTTGAGTCCAGGACCTGGGGGCTTGCTTTCTTACTTTCCCTCTCTTTCTTTCTCACTCTGTCCCTCTCTGGTCAAATTAAGCATAAATAAATAAGTAAATAAAAGTTAAATAAAATGAATCTTTTTAAAAAAGAATCATCTCAATATAAATAAGATGAATGCTTTGAAAAATCTCAGTGGCAGTGAATTACTTAAAAAAAATACATGTTGGGAACCAGCAGTTAGCGTAATGGCTATGTCGCTGGACTCCCACGTAGTCGACCGCGGTTCGCGTCCCGGACCCGGTGGCTTAAAACTCACGCCGGGCGTGTGTGCGTGCGTGCCCAAGATCCCGAGAGGAGAATGGAGGAGAAGGGATTGCAGCGTGACCATCCCCCCAGGGGTGATTTCTCGCTTTCTGTCTCTATGTCTCTTTCTGTCTGTCTGGCGAGCGCACGTGCCCTATAATGAAAATCTCTCCAAAAAAAAAATACATGTTAAAAAAAATACATGGTATTGTGCCAGCAAGTGGCATGGTAGTGAAGGTGCTGAACTCCCGTATGGTCGATCACGGTTTGAGTCCTGGACCTGGTGGCTTGCTTTCTCACTGTCTTTTTCTCTGTTTCTTTCTGGTGAGTGTACATGTCTTGAAACAAATTAAAAAAATAAAGATGAATATTGGTGGATAAAATTAAATATTTTTTTTAAAGAATTACTTATTTATTATCATTAGTTTTTAGTTTTGACCAGAGAGAGAGAGAGAGAGAATGTGCAAGCTGGCAGGTCTGGGTGACCATGTGGGAGTTTGGCGCTCTTAACCACTATGCCACCTGCCAGTCCCAAATAAATAATACTTAAAAAAAGTACATGGCATTAAATCATGTTAAAATGATAAAATATAGTGAGAAATTATAAAAATACGGAGTTGTGCACTCAGATTATTTCAGAAGTATTTTCGAGGATTTTTTTAAAGAGTTACTTAATCTTAACCACTATGCCACCTGCCAGTCCCAAATAAATAATACTTAAAAAAAGTACATGGCATTAAATCATGTTAAAATGATAAAATATAGTGAGAAATTATAAAAATACGGAGTTGTGCACTCAGATTATTTCAGAAGTATTTTCGAGGATTTTTTTAAAGAGTTACTTAATTTTATTATTATTTTAGTTTGCTATAGGGCATGTATACTCTTGAGAGAGAGAGTCTTCAGAGAGAGAGCAAAAGAGAGAGAGAGAGAGAGACAGAGAGAGAGAGAGAGACAGAGAGAGAGAGAGAAAGCAAGAAAGCAAGAAAGCGAGCTGCCAGGTCTGGGACTGAAACCACGGTCAGCCATGTCGAAGTCCAGCACCTTAACCACCACACCAACTGCTGGCCCCTAGGCTGCAAGCTTTTTGGACTGTTTATCTTTGAGTCTCTAGGACATGGTACTCAGCAATACATTTTTAAAGTTTATTTTATTTGTTTGTTCTATGAGTGAAGGAGAGAGAGTCACCACAACAGAGTCTCGATGCCATGGTTCCTCCGAGCCTTGGCAGCCATGTCCAGTGTCCTCAGGGAGACACGAACCCGAGCCTTGCCACGCGAGTCAGCCCTACAGAGCTCCGAGTTTACTGTTATGCCACTGTCGGGCCCTTACCAGGCCCTTACCAGTGTTTTTGAGTTGAACCAAACTTACTGTCTTTTATCCCACACTCTGGAGTGAGACATGAGCGTGAGTCCCGGCACCAGCCTACTGTGACTCAGACATTCTTTTAGATTTTGTCATAGAGCTTGTGCATTTGCAGGAGAGAGTCAGAGAGTGAAAGAGTGAACTCACCCTCCTGGGGATGGCCACACCACATTTCCATACCCATTTTCCTCTGGATTTTGGGCATGCACACACTTGTGCCTAGCATGATCTTTAAGCCACCAGGTCCAGGATTTGAAATGTATTTAGCCATGTGGGAATCCAGTGCCTTAACCACCATGCCACCTGCTGGCCCCAAATGAACCTTTTCTTAGAGAGGCAGGCGGTGATGCTGGGGCACATCCATGTTCTCCTGGGGGAGCCCTCTTGGCTTTGTAGACTCGCAGGCCCCTGTGATGACACTCTGAGTGGATGGGGACAGTGATGTGTCTTGGACCTGTTGTTTGCAGGAACAGTGAAAGTGAAGAGTTCCAGCATCCAAGTTGGAGACCTGATCATCGTTGAGAAGGTGAGAGTGCAGCCCGGCAAGTCGTGGCTGTGTGTGTGCGTGGGTCCTAACATCCACTGTGGACCTGTTAGATGAATTGCATGATGCTGTTTGTTTTCCCTTGAGAATTAATTAATTAATTAATTATTATTATTCAGTTTGACCAGAGAGAGACAGAGACAGAGACGGAGAGAGAGAGAGAAAGGGAGATTGAGAAAGCAAGCTGCCCAGTCTGGCACTTGAACCATGAATAGCCGTGTGAGTCCAGCGCCTTAACCACCATGCCACCTGCTGGCCCCTATATGATACTTTTTGGGATTCTAGTCAACAGCTTTGCCTGGGAAGAAAAATCTCTTCCCCATGCAACATGCACAAAAACATTTTTTTCATAGTGTACGTTGGCCAGAAATCTTATTTTGAAACACAAGTGCAAGTTTCGATTTCCTGTTTAATGTGTTATTGTGCTGGGATTAAAACCCTGATCGTAAAATCTTCCCTAGAATTCTGCTTGTACATAATGCCTTAAACAGTTATCGAATTTACCTCCGGGTGCAGTTGGCTTGCATTTTCTGGCTCACACTCTGTGCTCCTCCACCATCTGATGGAGAGAAAGGGTTAAGTGTAATGTGAAAACATAAAAAGGCCAAAAAATGTGCCTTTAAGAGTCGCGTGTCCGTAGGCCTGCTCCTTCAGCACATACTCATCTCTCTTTTCACTGCGTGTATCTGGAAGGTACTGGATTTTGGGGGTGACCCTGGAGTCTTGGGGCGATATCTGATTAGGAAAGGACAGTCTCTACCTCGTTTCTGTAGGAAGTGAACTGTGCTCTTTTAAAAGGATTAAATCCAAGAACTCACAGTTGACTTGAGGTGGAGTGAGACGCTTTGGGATGGTCACTCCGCAGGACCACACGCTCCCTTCCTGTCCCTTCCTGCTGTCACGTACATTTCTGCTCGTCAGAAGTGGAAGCAGCAGAGCACTTTCCTCTTTGTTTTTTTGAGAACGGCTTTCGTTGCTTCTTACTACTTTATTTTCCTATTAAAATCTCACTCAAAGCCAAGCACGAAGCTGGAAAGGTGGTGGGAGCAGAAGGGTGAGCAGAAGCAGACAGCCCGCGAGAGAGCCAGCCAGGTGGCAGCTTTTAGGCTTCACTCCTTGGCTGGGATCTCGGGAGCTCATGATTGGATTTGCCAGAAAACTGGAAGCTCTCTTTCTGAGATAAGATTTCCATAGGGGATTAGTGAGGGAGTAACAGACAGTATGCAGATTTTTCAGATTCAAAACAAAAGAAATCCCCAAATCTGTCTTTGACAAAGTATTTACTTAAAAGAGACTGTGGGTCTTGGTTGCCCCCCTCTGTGTAGAGGGGCTGGGAGTAGGAGGGGCAGACACCCTCACCTGATTTGACAATAACAGGCCTTCTCCTCATCACACAGAACCAGCGGGTCCCTGCGGACATGATCTTCCTGAGGACATCAGAAAAAAATGGTAAACATCTGAGATCAATTTAGAAAATAACCGTTAACCTTTCAGTGGTCTTTTGGCAAAGCAGTCATTTGAAAATGGAACAGAAGTAGATTATCATTCGGGAGCCATGGAAGCGAATCAGAAACATTTTTCTAATAGAGCAGCCTTTTAAAAATGCATTGTTGATGCTCACAGGTCGTTAGGTTTCGGTCATTAGGAAGATACTATGAGCCGGTGCGTACCAAGAGATGGGTGATGAGGGGGGCTTGGGGAAAGTGGGGAGAAGGCAGTGTCTCTGCTGCCCTCTGGCCTGCCTGTGCCTATTTCTGTCTTTGTTTTCGATTTTTTGCCAGAGGGCTTGTGGCTTGCAGGAGGGGGCGGGGAATGGCCCTACCACGTTCCCTTCTGTGTTCTCATCTCGGGATTCGGGGCACTGTGGACATGTGCCCGGCATGTTTTCAAGCCGTTGGGTCTGGGAGTTAAACCACTGAGTTGGCCAGATGGGATCCAGCACCTAACGGCCATGCCACCTCCTGGCCCTGGTTTTTATTTGCTATAGCTTGATTTGCTGGAGCCAGTCTCCCATGTCTCTTAACTTTTTGTGTGTGTGTGCCAGAGGAGACACATGCTTGCCAGAGAGAGACAGTGAAAGAAAAAGAGAAGAAGAAAGAGGGGAAAAGTAATGCCCCTATGGGATGTGGCCATGCCACAATCCCTTCTCCTCCATCCCTCCATCCTGTTGGGATTTGGGGCATGCATCTGGCAGGGCCAGGACTCGAACCGTGTGGTCAGGCCTGTGGGACCTAGCTCCCTCAGCTGCTGGGCCGCAGGCGGCCCTCGCAGGTCCTTACAAGATGGTTACTTGTTGCCAGTGTTCTCTGCGCGGCCACCATTGCCTGCTCGCCCTGTCCGTCGGCTTCAAGTCGCCTCACTTTCTGCTTTTTGTTATTTAAGCTCTTCTGAGGAAATGAGGCTGTTTTTTTCTTGCCTTGCTGACACAACCATAGATTTTTGAACATATGAAAAATTTGCATTCATATTTCTCTGAGGTTGCTGCAACCTATTTTCATTATGAATCAAATGAGGGGTTTGCATAAATTTTGTACTATTAAGATATTGCCATAGGAGAGGGGATTAAAGCAGTCTTCTGAGCACTGTCACTTTGTCCTCCGTTGGCTCCTCTGTCCCGTTTGGTGGAAGTGGAGCATTCTGGGTTAGGGCCCGACGGTTCTTCCCCGCTTCCGGAGAAAGCAGAACCAGCATGTTCTTCCTGAGCAGTTGTCAGAGGTCTAACTGCGGTGTCCGTGAGCTGAGTACTCGGCCTGGCGCTGGGCCTAGGCGGTTACGCAGGCTCATGTGTTAGACGGGAGCAGACAGCTGTGGACTGTGCAAGCCAGTGTCGACGGCCGCATGGCGCCAGTTCTGGCCCTGCTCTGCTCTCAGACCTGATGGCACCCCCGCAGGGTTGGTGTTCTCATTGTCTTTGTTTTTGCATACGATGGAGCTGAGGCTCAGCAAGGGTAGTATCTAGGACACCCAGCTAGTGAGTGGCGGAGCACAGACCTGAACCCTTGGCAGCTGGGTTCCTCAGGAGATGCTCTTCAGCCCTGGCCAGCCTGTCGAAGGTTGGCTACACTGCACCAGCGTCCCTACCACACACGCAGGTCCACGCTTCGTCCTGTTCTAGAGACAAGGATGCAGTGTGCTTAGCAAGGTCAGGAAACCAGCCAGGATCCCACAGGAAGTAGAAGAGTGAGGATTTGAACTCAGCTCTTTCTGACCTGAGAGCTTGCAGGGGAAGTGGGAAATGGGATGCTATTTTTTTCCTTCTGGTCACTGGCTGGCCATGGATTGGCTGGTTT